AATAATTTAACAAAGTAATCTTCCTTGGCTCTCCGTAATTGTTCATTATTTTCTAGAACTTTATAAAATGGAAATATTAAAAAGTTTCCATTCGCACATGAATCAAAATGTTCACTGCATGGCGTATTCCTGACAGAAGGGTCCCGTATTTGTTGTTTATGGACTCTTACGCGGTCAGCTAGTTTGTTACCGGTCTGTCCAATGTAGTTTTCCCCGCATGAAGTACAAGTCATACAGTATATTAAATTTTTAGATTTGCATGACATATTCGCATTTACGGTTAATGTTTACCACATTTAAAAGCAAACGTCTCTCCTGTTTTTAAATAAGGACAGGTTCCACATAGGGGGTCCATACATTTGGCCACTGTGCGTATGTCTTCATTTGACGAAAATTTGGCTCTTGTAAGGAGTTTCTTCAGGTTTGGGGGTTGGCGCCGGCTACGGCTATAGATTATGCTCTTCAGGTCAATTAATTCCTTTAGATTTTGGGATTGTTGTAGAATGGGGAAACACTGTTTTACGGAATTATACATATTAAGGTTCCGGGGGTTATGTGTAACGACAAGCGGGATTTCTTTATTGTTTTCCTGGGCCACTGCTCTAGTAGAACTCCGGAGATCTGTAGTTGGTATTGACTTGGCCCTTTCAATAGCGACGTCTATTAGATCATTGGGATATTTTTGTCTAAGTAAAAAAGTTTTCAATTCCTGTAGACGGCTGTTTCTTCTGGTTTCATCTATGACAATGGTACAAACACGTCTTGCCATATTAAAAGGTATGTTACGTTTTACGTGTGAAGGATGGCAGGAATTAAATACAAGGTATTGGTGGGAATCCGTTTTCTTGTAGTATAAATCTGTTATGATTTTACGACCCTCCTTACTTATAAGGATATCTAAAAAAGGTAGTTCCAATCCGCTTTTTTCCACCGTAAATTTAATAGACGGGTGTAGATTGTTAAGAATAGAATGAAATTCTTGTAAATCTTCATTAGATCTGTTCCAGAAAATGAAACAGTCATCTAAATATCGCTTCCAATTAAAGCGTATACATTGGGCAAACTGATTTCCAAATCTTCTGTCTGTTTCACTGATCAATTTTTCTTCTAAAAACCCAAGTACTAGGGTGGCATAGGTTGGGGCAACTTTTGTGCCCATCGCTGTTCCTTTTATTTGTAGAAAATTTCTGCTGTCAAAAACAAAATGGTTATTTTCTAATACTATTTTTAAACCTTCTAGGATAAAGTCTTTGGAAAATCTTTCATTTATTTCACTGCGGTATTTATCGATCCAAAAAGCGATTGCTTCCAGTCCAAGTGTATGAGGTATGTTAGTATAGAGGCTCGTTACATCAAAACTAACCATCTCTGTATTTATTTCAACTGTATCTGGGATGTGGCCAAGAAAATCCATATCATCCCTTACATAACTTGGTTCAAGTTGGCATAGAGGCTTTAGAAGCATATCCAACAAGTTACTAATTCTGTGCGTGGGGCATGCAGGGCCAGCTACAATTGGTCTAAGCTTTAAATCTGTTGGTCGAGGTAATTTTATATATAAAGCGTTTTTACCTTCGAGTCCGTCCTGTATTTCTTTGGATTTGTGGATCTTTGGTAAACCATAAAAGTTACTAGATTTATTTTCGAAATTTGTTAAATAATCCACTTCTTTCACGGTTAAATTATCCGCAAATTTAGAAGTTAATTTCTTAAACTTAAACTTGTTTGTTTATCTTGGATTTTATTTTAATATATATATATATATATATATATATATATATATATATATATATATATATATATATATATATATATATAGATATAGATATAGGTATATATATATATATATATATATATATATATATATATATATATATATATATATATATATATATATATATATATATATATATATATATATATATATATCCTTACTGGTATTTTTATTTGCTTCAGTATACATGTATACATTTAATAATTCTACAAATCCAGAGGGGGAGGGGGGGGGGTCCGACCTGAGTCACCAGAGTCACTTTTTTTATATTCCTATGTAAAACTTTTATCCATATTGTGACCCAACCTTACCCCCAGTTGTCATGATTTTTATAGATGGAGCTCATCCCTTCCCTTTCAGGGTCATGTTTTGAACATTCTTGAATCTAAACTTCAAAAGATTTTTGAAGATTTTGCCCTATATATTCCATTGTAAAACTTTGATTCTCCATTGTGGTCCCACCCATCCCCCTGGGGTCAGGATTTTACCAAACTTTAATCTACATTACCTGAGGATGCCTCTATATTAATATGATTAATCATGGCTTTGCTGTTCTTGAGAAGATTTTTTCCTATATATTCCTATGTAAAAATTTGCTCCCCCATTTTGTACCCACCCTACCCCTGGGGATCAATATATATCTGAACAAACTTGCACTACACTATCTAAGGATGTTTCCATATCAAAATGACTAATAATAGCTTTGCTGATTTTTTGCAATATATTCCATTGTAGAACTTTGATCTCCCATTGTGGCCCCATCCATCCCTTGGGGGTCAGGATTTGAACAAAATTTAATCTACATTATCTGAGGATGCCTTCATATTAATATGACTAATCATGGCTTTGCTGTTCTTGTGAAGAAGATTTGTTTTTCTATATATTCCTATGTAAAACTTTGATCCCCCATTAACATGAGTCCTAAATTATATCCGCATTTTTCAGGAAAGTTAAGGTATTTTGCTTTTATTTATGCTGTTCGTCCGTTCGTTCATCTGTCATCCCCCTAAAATCCCCCACCCTACCCCCGGGGTTCATGATTTGTACAAATTTCAAACGTGAGTCTACATTACGTAAGGATTTCCTATAAGTTACAAACTTTTTGGCCCAGTGGTTCTTGAAAAGAAGATTTTTGAAGATTTTTCCTATATACATGTATTACTATGTAAACATTTGTTCCCCAAATGTGGCCCCACCCTATCCCCGGGGTCATCATTTGAACAAACTTGAATCTACACGATGTAAAGAGGATTTCCGATAAGTTTCAACTTTTTTGGCCGAGAGGTTCTTGAGAAGAAAGATTTTGAAGATTTTTAAAAGATACCACCAAATTTTCACTAATTCTTAATTATATCATCTTGTAGGAAGGTGTGGCCTCTTCATTTGAACAAATTTAAATCCCCTTCACCCAAGGATGCTTTGTGGCAAGTTTGGTTGAAATTGGTCCAGTGGTTTTAAAAAAGAATTTGAAAATGTGAAAAGCTTACAGACGGACGGACAGCTAGACGGACGACGGACAAAATGTGATCAGAAAAGCTCACTTGAGCTTTCAGCTCAGATGAGCTAAAATGTTTATCAAAGTATCAAAATTGATGCATCATACGATTTTTTAAGTTATCTTAAAGACTCATTTTTTTTTACCGTACGGTTACATGTGGAGAGGGAATGGTCTTAGTTGTACTGGTGTTATTTATCTGGACAGCCCCAATACTCAAGATGGGAAAATACATATACACATTGTAGTACACAGGAAATCTGTCTTTAGTAATCAGGATAAACATAACGTGTTTTTGTCTAATTTTGAGAGAAACTATTGTAAATACTTTTCATATTTTAACATAAAATTAAATAACGTTTTCATCGATATCTTTTGAAGAAAGAAAAATTATAAAGAAATATTTTCTTTTTTTAAAGAAAAAAATAAAATAGCAAGTGAAAAGTACAAAGCAATCATATCAATATATACTGTAATCGTCAGTAAAAGAAATTATCATTCAATAAGTGTAAATATTAAAATAAAGAGATTTCATTTATCGTGTGGACAATCCGACATGTGCCATAGCCAGAATATTAATTTTTCTGGCCAACAATCGTGTCCAAGGTATTCAACAATGCAATTTCCAGAGTCCGTGTCTTTATGCCCTGTTCACAGATTTGTATTGTTTGTAGTTTTTTTTCTAAAAGATCGATCACTGTTCATTATCTTAACTATTTTCAATATACAAATATAGTATACGTTAGAGAAAATTCGAACAATGATTGTGACATATCTTCCACCGAATGGTGTACATTGTATTTCATAATATGTTTGTCTTTAATAAAATTTTTGCTAAAAATAGAATGAAACTTCTAAATTGCAATTTAAAACAAAACCTCGAATTTCCGCTATAGTTTCGGCAAATTCTACAGTAGAGTTGTCTTGAACGTCATATCGCTTACAAGTACCAACAACGAGATTGAAAAAAATAAATCATAAAGTCAATGTTTAATCATCTACTGTCAATTTTTTTTTTTTTTGAAATATAATTACCAAACAATATTATATGAATTTTTTTACCAGAATGTATACATACAAAGCGACTTTTCATGCGGTACATGAAAGTGTTTTACGCGTGACCATGCAAACTCAGATTATCAGGTAGCACAGGTAGCTGGCCTGTCAATGAAATCAGTAGCTATTATTTTTTTTATTGATTGACAGGTGGTATATTATTGATCTCGAATTAGGTAAATTTTGGGGGCGTTAACGTAAAATTGGGTGTTTAAAGAAACACATGTCAAGGTTAAAAAAAATGTTTTAACAGATATTGTACATTTTAACTTCACAAACACAAATATCATTTACAAATTAATGTTGCTTGACACATATATATTTATTTTAAAAACCACACATATATTGTTTTTTTTTTCAACACCACATATATATTGTATTTTCAAAACAAAGGTAATGTCAAACTTGCCAAATTTACATATGTACATGTAAAAAAAGGTGAAAAGAAGAAAAAATAAAAACGAGTGCATGCATCCAAGGTTGACAAATAAATGAAATTTGCTTCAAAGTCAGAGTTCCAGTTTATAATAATTTTTAGATCTACTATTTTAGCAAGCTTAGAGATTTCATTTTTTTCCTTCCATCTTTTATAGAAGAATAGGATGTAGTTAGTTAAATGAAGGAATCCTACTGAAGAAAACAATTGGAGATCGAGAATATGAACACGAATTCACATCAATTTTCATAATGAAACACTTTCACAAGCCCATTATCATTTCCTACCCACAGAGTAGACTTGGACAGTGACAATGCTAATGGGTTTTCTATTTCTTTTTCTGTCAAAAGGCATTTCAAAAATTTTCCTTCAGGACTCAGCAAGTGGATGCTTTTAAGGTGATCAATAAAAAGAATGTTACAATAAGAGTCACACACAATGTCAGTCGGCCAAAAGTTCTCTTTCCCACGGTAGACAGATCTCAGATCACCAGAGACAGAGACATTCACAATCTCACCTTTGTTGTCCCCTGTCATGTTCACAACGCAAATATCCGAGTTGCTATTCTGACAGAGTCTGTAATGTGCTGTAAACAGTCTGGTTTGTCCGTCCTGCTGGTACTCATACTCGTGAATAACATCACCGGTCAATGTCAAGTGGCTCACTAAGCGTTGGGAACTATAATCTATGTCATCAAAACTTTTGCATTCAGAGTCTATCAAAGAAACAAAACAACCATTGTTAACTGAATTACAAATTCTCATAGGTTCTAGAAGATGTGTACTAAAAACTCTTGAAACTGATCCTGATTGAGAAAGGTTGCAAATGGTATTTTCTGTTGTGAAATAGATACTCTCATTTGATACACAAAAATCATCACAAACAATTTTGAATTTATGTTCTTTCTCCCCTTGTTTGCTGACCAGTTTAATGTACTTTGAATCCTTTGCCATTAAGCAGCACATATCTTCATTTAAGGCATCCAAAATTAATACAGAATTTTCACTGTATTGAAATGAATTGGTTTCTATAGCAGTGATGTTATCTCCGTCCAAAAGTTCACCAAGCATAGAATCCAGCATATTTTTATCATTTTCCACCTCCCTGTAACTCATGGAGTATCCACATTTCTCTAGGTCAATGTCAAAGTCGGAAAGGAGATGAGACAGGTCTCTTTGGTTCTCTATTGTGCTCTTATCTGACATAATGCTGTTGTTCTCCTCCATGTACTCTACTATTTGAATTATTTTCTTCTTCTTCTCCTCTATCAGGGATTTTTCTTTATCTAGATTTTTCTTAAGGAGATTGTCTTTCAGTTCTTCTTCCTTGCTTTTCTTTATTTCTGTTAATCTGGCTATAATTTCATCAAAATTCTTCTGTATTATTTTAATATGTGAGTCACAGGAGTTTTCATTTTCAGTCTTCTTTTTCAGTATCTTCTCATCAACCTTCGGCAGTTGTTCTTCCTTTATATCCTTCAAATACTTAAGGAGTCCTCTTCTAATCTGACTGGCAGCCGCACCTTGGGTGACCCAGTTGTGTCCATTATGGTCTCATTTGGCACATGTGGAAAAAATGAATACATTGCAGTCCTTACACACCATATCAACTGGAAAATCATGTTTTTCACATATCTGAATATGCTCTTGAGGAGAACCACCCAAATATTTTGGTTTACTAACCGCCATTTTATAAACAATCTTCTCGGTGACGAAGGTAAAGATTAGGTAACTATGCAGGTAATGAAATAGTATTGGAGAATCAAATATGCAGGTGCATTTTAAACTATACATTACAAATCATCAGATTTTCAGCAGTCATTTATTAGTGTCTCATGAAGAATATCACGTTATCTGGTCATATTTGCAATCATCTTACGTTGAATTTTTGACAAATCATCATGTTTTTGTGGATGGAATTTACTGCTTAGATAATACTAAATTTAAATAGGTATTAATCGATATATCTGTGACATCAGGTATATAAAGTTGTGCATGAAATGATATATTTAGAATATAATTTTGCCAAAACCTAAATGATTTTATAATTGCCAACTCCATATAATTATAGAAATTATAGAATTTTTGGTGATAAAAAGATATTGTTAAAATGAAATATTTATACTTTGAAATCCAATTTTTATCAAGGGACAAAATTCCTAATTAATTTTCGGAAACACTCATCTAATTACAAAAGCGTTAAAAATCGGGCCAATTTGTATTGTCATAAAAGTGTTGTCCACAATGCCACAGACAGAGGTTCTTATATAATTGTTAAAAGTCACAAATTAACCCGTAAATTGATAAAACAATTGTCTACACACTCATTGAAAATATATTTTGAATAATGATCTCCCTTTATCCATTATTATCCGAGAAGAAAAGTAGCTCAATGTAAATAATTTACGTTTTTATAGGAAAGATATATTTTAAAAATCTCATCATGTAAGACGGATGAAATTTTTCTCCAATTATGTTCCCCTAAGACAAGTGGGGTCACAATTACGAATCAAAGTTTTCTGTTTCAAATTGGACTTTTGAGATTGATTACTGTTCGCTATCTCCAAATTCTTGTAGGAACGTTTAGGGAAAAATCGATATTATCTAATTAATTAATAGTAGAATCATTATTAATTAGACTAATATGCAAACATTCTCAGGTAGTGCAGATTCAAGTTTGTTCAAATCATGACTACAGGGAAGACCAAGTTTGGGCCACAAGGGATAAAATTATAACATGGGAATATGTAGGAAGAATATTTAAAAAATTTATTCTTGAGAACTGGGTCATGTTTACGCTTCATTTAATTTACTCATGAATTGATAGGGGACAAGCTGCACAATTATGATAACGAATAGAGTTCTCATCAAACCGTAAAATGTGTATGATGTACGTACATGTATTCTGTTCAAAAAAAGAAATACATAATAAAAGTTTTAGTGACACATTCAGACATAAAGGTTACTTAGTAGAATTATGTATTGATAACTAAGAAAGGAAATAAATAATGGGTCTACAAACTAACTGTCATAATTACTCAAGAATTTTACAATCATAGACAGTTTAAGGTCATTAAAAATCTAGAATACCCCCATGTACACCAATGAAAGCCTATAATGTCATCCCAATGGATGCATATGAGTGTATTAAAAACTGTATAGGAATGCTATTCCATTATAGATGTTAGGATGGGACAGCAGTTGCAAAATCTAGGGATGCAGTTGTGTTTGGCGGATATGCCTATCCAGTTGTCCAATGCATGGTCAATGGGGTTTAAATCTTTTAAATTAAGATGGCCAAGGGAGAATGGAATGATGTGGCTTTGCAAGAATGCACTTGTCAAACAAGCCGTATGTGATGTGTATTGTCAGATTGAAATACGGTTCAAAGACATGTGCAGGTTGGACATCGGAAGAGTACAGTTGTTTCGTCAAAGTCCTTTGATTATGAACCAAGTATGTTTCAAACATGTTATACCTTGTTACCAATTTTATTACATGGTGTTTTTTTTAAACAAACTACTAGTCATGTTTCAGTTGCTGCATATAACCTCATTTCCTGGATGGATGAATAGATTATTCTAAATGTACCTCTATTCACAAACAACTATAAATCTATATTTTTTATTTTAAAAAAAAATCGCATGGGATTGAACGCAAGGATGGAAACACTTAAAAACAAGCTGTGGATGTTGCAAAGAGTTATGAATATGTACCAGAGAAAACTAACGCAGTAGCGTAATATTTTATCAATTGACTTTAGGCATCAGTTTACCTCCTTTGATATTCAGCGTGGCTGGATATTTGGAAGACGTACATCAGTCCAAATATCCAGCCGAACCAAAGGTATCTCCATCAGGCACGTAGTGTCGTTTTTTGAAGGGGTGGGAGGAGGGGGGTGTCAGGGAAAAAAAAATTCTGGATCACCTGAAAAATTTGACAAGGGTGGGGGAGTAGGTTCCCACTTTTTCACAACAGCATTTTCTTCATACATTACTACATAACCCTGATTTTGACTATGCTTAGGGGTGTTTTTTCAACCTTTTCACAACCAAATTTTCTTCATACATTTTTGACTATGCTCAGGGTTTTTTTTTCTTTCAGGTCTTAAATCAAGGGACTGGGCCTTTCCATATTTGGGAAAAATATCACATTTAATATTTTTCTAAATAAATTCAAATCAGAGTTTTTTTTTTATTTGCAAGGTATTTCATTGACTTATTTTACATTCAGTCAATCAGTTTTTCAAGCATGCCTTTTAGATTTTTTTTAAACACCATTCCTGATATACAAGTTACCCAGTTCGGACATTTTTTTAAAAACCATATTTGTTTGTTTCAATTTTTTTCTTTTGGGAATTTTCTTTTATGAAATTGGGAAAATAAAAGACATACTTCTTACCATTGGGAATGGGGCAGAAAATAGGCTCCCTATGATCCCTGAAAAAAAAAAAAAAAAAAAAAAAAAAACTTAAGCTGTGATAAAAAAAGAGAGGGGGAAACACCCTTTTAATGAAACCATGTAGTGAAGATTCAGGTCTATGCATATAATCCACTACAGTAGCAACTGTTTGAGGATGTTGAGGCTCAGTATTGGATGAGAAATTTAATTATTTGATGTACTCATGTAATTACATATTACTGAACACTAACAATCATTCAATTCAACAAATTTGAAGGTATTTTTCCACCTGCAGGTCTAGAATTATACAAAGTATATAACTGGGAGTGATTAGTCTTATCATCTGGAATTATAAAACTGGCCCACTCAGAAGTTTTCACAATGGATGCAAACCTCTCCTCTCCAAGACGGGGAATAAGTCCACAGGTACTCTTTAGATCGGCGACAACTTCTCCTGCGGGCATTGAACAAAATAAATGATGGTGAATGACAAACCATAAATCCAAAATGGCAGAGAATTTCAACCTGTTATCATCAAATAACTTTGAACCATCAGAATCCATTTTTAGCAAGAAATCGTTTTCAGCATCATACATTACAACATCATATGAAGTTCCATTAATGGCACAAACTGGAATCATTGAGGTTTCCAAAGAATCATGTGATATGAATTCCTTAATTATAGTCATCTCCTTGTATTTGTATATTGATAATGCTATGGCCTGCTTATATACTTTATTCACATTGTTCAAAGATGCATGGCTTTCCACCAAGTCGGCCACAGATTTGTTTTTCTCATAATTATTGTTTTCTTGAATGTTAGAGTTTCTCATGTTTTCTGGTGTTGTTTTCTTCCAAGAGAAGATGGCACACTTGCTGTTGTCAACCTCAAAGAACATATTATTACTGCCTGGGAAAAGAACAATATCAGCTGGTCCATAGAAAAGGCGTGGACTTCCTAACAAAACAAAAATTTAAAAATCTTAAAAAATTTTAAATCCTGACTATGCCGAAACAATAAAATGCTAGTACAAGTAGTGCACATATATTTAAAGAGAAATATTAGCAGGGAGAATATATTTTATGTACAACTGGAACTTGTTCAGGATTTCAATTCTGAATTTACTGCTAATTGTGCTGATGCTCTATACATGCTACATGCATGTTTATTGAGCTAATGCACCTGCTCCCAATGCAATAAATGTAAAATGGGTAGTATATACAGATAGCAGCAATATGGATTTCAAAAAATAGCCATATGTTAATGTCTTTATGATGAATTTTCCTAATGATGTGAGCTCAGAAACCTTATATGTATTTAAAAAAAAAAAATAAATAACAAAGCCAACTATTTAACTATTTAGCCATAAATTGGCATGAAAGTGAATACAACAATGCTTCATGCTTGAGTCTAACATAAAGTGACAGTGTATACCTATGTATGTAGTTCCAAGCTGAATATTCTCTCCACACCCAGAGGGACACACATCTGTGATTCCTGGTGTTGTTTTTTCTAAGAAGTAGTTGGAACTCAATGGCAACAGTTGAGCAAGTAAATGACTGGTTAGCAGGACTCTAGACTTTGCCTCCATGTCATTGCTTCCATCGGATGTTAAAGCAGACAGATTTCTCTCATGAATTTCTGTAATGTAAGAAAGAATTTAGTGTACGTATATAACCATGATATAAACATATGCAATTATCAATATGATGCCATTAAAACTAGAGTTGTCCTTTTAAGACAGAATTACCAAGGAACATTGTCCAAATTGCCCTGGCTTGTTTTCAGGATATATTCTCAAGTCAATTCGAATTGACAATAATCTTCTCTAATACATAGTCACTAAACTACCTGCTATAAGATATCTAACTCTCTTAAAAACACTGATCAACCAACGACTACACATCAGATACTGGTACAAACATCTCAGTATTCATACAAAGTTAGGAAAAGTAAAAAAAAAATTAGGTGTAAAATTTACATTTATAATTCTCTAAGCATGCTTAGTAAGAGAGAATAGTTTCTGTACTTAGTATACTTAGATTACGACATACCAGTAATTAATTTATGATTAATTGAAATGTCAAACAGTAACATAAGTTGAAATTTTTTTTTATTTGGTACAGGATGTAATATTTATGATAG